AAAGGGAAACAGAGCAATAAAACTGACATCGAACAGATCCCATCAATGTGTAAAACGTATAAACCCTCCGATGCGCGCATTATTTAGGGAATAGAAACAGAAATTGCATCTACCGTTAAATTTGATCGAATTAAGGATGAAGTTTGTGTGGAAGTTCCATTCACGAAATTTTATGAGGACATTTCCTTAAGTGGAAATTTCGAGCCTCACCTGTAATCCAATCAAATTTTACAGTAAATTCAAATTGGTATATACTGTGCCCTGTATGATCCACGAAACACACGAAGGCTTAAGGATGACTTACAATATTACGGGATGCAAATGATATTAATTATTTTTCAGGGGAACCTCAAAAATATAAATGCGTGCGATATGCGTCAAAGTCATCACAAACTTTCAAATATCTCATATTTCATCACAGGTCTCTTTAATAAGAATGCTGAAAATAAACTTGATTAAATTATCCTTTATAACTTTTTATGGGATTTGTTTGTTTTTAATCGTAGGGGATTCCCAGCAAACTACATATAAGTATCAATAACACGACATTGATGTTTGAATGTCAGCTCAACCACACGGTATGTTTTGCTAACTATTACATGATATGCAACGTAACATGTAACAGTTAGCGAAACATACTACACGATTTAGCTCATATTCTAACATTCACATGATGTTACTGATGCTTGTTTGTACTTTGCTGGAGTGTTATAAGGAAAATTCTAAAGCAAATTAACGATACCTCCATACCTTGACGCCGTACCAATTTTATATTTGATACCTGAAGGACTGTTACGATACCTGAAGTTTGACACGCTTCGTATACTTAGGTGTTTGTATTCATGTTTGCCTCTCTATGTCCACGTGCGCATCGTTTCCCCTCATTTTTGTATCTTTCCTTTGAATGTCTGAACCATTCCATAATTCTCCGATGGATTCTTCCTTGATCGGAGTCAGTCACATTTTGAAGAACAAATTCTAGAAAAAGTGTTTTCATCGAAAATTATATAAGTCCGATATAAAATTATAATTTGCGTAAACTTACTGAAAATCACTCTCATAATTCGCAGATTTTGCAATGGCTCTTTCCCACATCGGCCTTCCCAATTATACTTTTCCGCCAATTCGTTTGAGAATATCTTGCACAGAGTCCTCTTCACAGCATCATCGACGTTGCTCCCACCTATAAACTTCACATATGCGCACTATGCAACATAGAATTAATATATTTGTATTGTACATATATAACGGTAATACAGATGTGTGCATAAATCACATTAGAGCGAGCGAACGAGCGAGAGGGAAGAGGAGAGATAGATAGATAGATAGATAGATAGATAGATAGATAGATAGATAGATAGATAGAGAGAGAGAGAGAGAGAGAGAGAGAGAGGAGCCTAAAAATGATAAAGATTAATGTGCATCTACTTACTATTGCACTAGCATCTTGGAAGTTTTCTTTCAGCATTTTTTCAACCTCCAGCAGTTGAGCTGTTGTTTTCAAAGGAAATAATTTCTCCATTTCTTCAAAATTACATTGTGGATTATGTATCCTTTTTTCCTCTTCACTTCTCTTTACTAAAAGATCTAATAGAGTCAATGCATGTCTGACATCATATTTCACGACAGCTATTTCTCTGCTCAGTCTTATTATATGGTCCACTGCAAATACGAGTTGCATTATTAATTAGCGCATCGTATATGTCTTAATTATCTGTCGACTGTAGGACGCAGTTTAGACATTTGTACTATTTGAGATGTCAAAGACGCGCAGTCGAATCTCTAATCCGACCGATCAATGGTATTAAAACGTTGCTATTGAAACGCCATTTCAACAAATTCTCTAGACGAATCGGATTGATGTTTCCTGTCTCAGCAGGATTATATCGGATTATATCGAGCAGGCAGTGGTGAAACAAATAGGTCGCAATTTCTTGCGTGCAATTGTACATTTAATAAAATAAGTAGTTATTTTTCTACTTTTATTTATTACTCGATATAATCCGATAACTGCCCTTATAGAAATATCATACTAAGAATCATTGATAATTA